CTAATAGCACTGTGTTGCTTAAACCCTTCTTTAAGGTACATGCCCACCTTTGTCCACCTCCATCACAGCCTGACATCAGTGGGTTTTTCTCAGGGTGGAAAGCTCGTTCAGATCCACTGAAGACATTACATAACGTTTTTAATGACCTCACTGTAAATAATCAGTGGAGTTAATAATCTTAATAAACACCTTAACTTTTTCCATTAAATCTTTTTTCCCCAGATAAATAAGATGAGATTGAAAGTATCAGTGGTTTGTATTAAAAATCTAATCTGCAATGTGTCATTCAATCACACATCTGAGACAATAGCTTGTACTTGGAGGCCACTTCTGTGCTACGGCTCATTTTCTGTTCTTTGACAGAGATGATATGGTTGGTTTTTACCTGGCTACTGCCGTCATTCAGTCATCTTTTACCATGTGTCCGTCTCCAGGTCCCCCAAATCTGAGCAATAAAGATGAACATTTTTACCCGGGGAACTAGCCAGAGCAATGAAGTGAACACTACTGACAGGAAACAGCAAAGACTGGAAATAACGGTCAGAAAAAAGGTCACATGAGTTGTGTGGGTGTTTTATTTTTGTTTGTTTCTTTTGTTTTTTAATTTGTTGGTTTGTTTTTTGCAGGTGATATAGTGAAGGAAAACCATAAAGTTGCATAAACTATACTTTATTGATATACTTCAAATGCTAGATCATTGGTAATGTTCAGTGTAAATACAATATAAACTCCATATTTAGTTTTAATATGTTACATTTTATCAGACAAGCTTCATAACAAAGAAAGCATGAGGCAGTTTATTCCACCAAAGAGAAAATCAGATAGTTTTATGGGCTCTGTGCGTACAAAGATCCAAAACAAAACAAAGGCTATTTCAACTTCAAGTCTTCAAAGATCTCAGTCAGAGTGATTTCCGCCTGCTGTGAGAATTGTTCTTGCCCAGACAGAGTGCCACGCTGCTGGGGGAGGTTTGTGATGACACGGTGTAGAAGCTGCAAGGGGCCTGGTCCACTCTGTAGGAGATGGTACTGTAAAAGACAGGGTTGCTTGTCTGGTCACAGTGGGACTGAGAGGCGCTGTTGTAAACGTCCATGCAACAGCGCATGCAAAGGAACAAAGCCTGGAGTCTGCTGGGTTCAGGCAGGTTTGCATTCTTGGGTATAATAGGTCTGTGCTCCTCTGCAGGAGAAGACAGGAGGCTGACAAAGCTGTTGCAATCCTCCATGGGAAAGGTAAGCCTGCTAAGTTCATCTTCATCATCCTTACATAGGTCCTCAGCAGTTCCTTCTCCAGTGTCCACAATCTCCCTGTACTCCTGCTCTTCTTCCCCTGCAGTGGAGCTCCCATCAAGCTCACCTGAGCTTACAGTGAGAAACCTCAACACCACCAGGTTAAGAAATGCTCCGATGACCATCAGCCCAACTAGAATGTACATGAAGCTAAATGCCACGTAGGTAGGTTGCTTCTAGAGCGCATCTTTTGTCTGCAAGGCTACAAAATCTCCAAACCCAATGGTAGTAAGTTTGATAAAGCAGTAGTAAGAGGCATTAAAAAAGCTCCAGCCCTCAAAATAGGAAAAGGCTGCAGCTCCTACAAACAAAGTGCTTACCCAAGATAGTAAACCCACCAGGACCATGTTTCCCATTGACACCTCTGTCTTCTGTAAGCCCAGGCCCTGCTTGACTCTGCTCAGGAGGTATCTCACAAAAGTGTTGATCCTCTCACCCAGGCTCTGGAACATGACCAGCGTCAGAGGAATGCCCAAGAGCGCATAAAACATACAGAAGGCCTTTCCAGCATTGGTGCACGGAACAGCATGGAACAGCACGGAACAGCATGGAACAGCATGGCCATAACCTGCAAAGTCAAAGAATAATACAGGTCAAAGGTTGAGTACTACTGTTTCATAGTCATCAAGCTCCATAGACATCAAACTAGTATATTGCTGCTTTAAACACTGCAAGGCAGGGATACTCACACATAACTCAGTATTGGTATCAGATCAGTACTAGCGCCTCAGTATTGATACTTTGTTTCTATCCTCTATGTTCAGTATGTAGTCCATGGAATTGTGTTAAATAAATAAGTAAAATAGAAATGAAAAAATACAAGTCAAACACGGGCTATGAAAAATATCTGAACTTTTTTGTATGTTGACTGTCACATAATTTTATTTATAGCCTCTAGCACATTGAAACAACAGAAGCTGACTGAAAGTCCTTTAGTGATAAGCACATTTACATTCCAGGTCTCCAAAAAAAAAAAACCACACAAAAAGCTGGAAAATGTGTTCAGACTTTGCAAACTGGTGATTAATCTCATTCATCTCACTGCCCTCTCCAACATAAGCCATCTTTATCGTTAAAAATATCTGTATCAGTATTGGTATCACCAATACTGGCCCTCTATTTACATGGAATTGGCTTGATACCAATATTTTTCAATCCTGCACACCACTACTTAACATAAAAAGTGCTTACTGGACATTAACAGCAGGTTCTCTCACTTGTTTATACTTGTCTCCAATGTTCCCTCTAATTTTTAATGTGTCTGAGCGAACACACAAACTCCCTGAGCGATCCCTGAGCGACATCAGACGTGTGCACTGTGGTCACGCCACCATCGAATCCATCCAAGTTACAGGGTTTATTAAAATAATCAAATTACAGCATTTACATTTATGTTAGACTACTTTTAATTAACTGCTTTAGCCCACTTACAATGAAAAATCGAGTCATTGACCTGTGCAGTATGTTAACACTATTGGAAGTAAAAATAACTTGAACTTTTTAACTATATATATATATATATATATTACAGAACAATCAGCTGTTCTGCATTAAATTTGATGCCACACAAATTATTTGTGCCATTCCAAAAAATAATAATAATAAAATAATAAGCCTGATAACTGCAGGCCTGACAGCAGGAGATGTATCACTCCTGTAACACCTGTAACATTCAGCAGTCGCCTCACTGTTCTGACACACACAACAAAACTACACTACACACTAACTACACAAGATTTGCGCTAAACGTCTCAAATCTCTCACATCTCAAA